CGTTTCACCAGTTCATTCTGCTTTTTATTCAGCTTAGCTGCAGCGGTAGATACCTTTGTCCATATTAGTCATTTCCTGGCACGTCTTAAGTTCTTTGAGCATGAGATCACTTCCCTTTCAGTGCGAAAACTTCTTTCTCATTTTCATAAAATAAAATGCTATAGTATTTAACTTTTTCTTTCCATCGGCGAATAATGATTCTGAAAGAAAACGCGCCCGATGTATGTTTGCTATAGCAGCGAACGCTACTTTCATGCATCTGATTATCAGATAAACCTCGCGCTCTTGGTTCAAAGTTGTTGTTAATGCTGTGGTTATTTTAACAGTTTCCTTCGTACATTCGGTTCAACGACATTGTTAAAACACATTTATCATTCAATGGAACTGTGCGTATGCTTTAGACACTTACATTTTTCCTCTGTCCATGCAATAAATGCACAGTCTCCGACTGCTCAGGTAATGTCGCCGGTATGACACAGAGCCATTGAAAAACTACAGAAAAGCAAAACTACTTCACTTTAGCATTACTGGCCACGAATACACTAAGGAGAGATCACACATCAGCTGCTCAAAAAATGTGTCAGTGAGACGAACGGAGCGTGAGCGCAATCCTGTGACAGTCGCAGGCGGTAAATAGTGGAGCGCGTGAAGGAGAGATGCAAGGGCACGAACACTGTTCAAGGTCTCCATTAATTCATGCTTGTAGTAATTTAATGTGTATATATTTTTAAAGCATTGAATCGCTATAGAAATCGCGATTCATTCGATTCTTAATGTTTTAAATCGATTACTGTCCGAAATCGACGATTCAAAAATCCATGTTTCAAGATCGATGCATATGCATCGTCAGGGTTTGTAATCGATGCATAGAGAAAATGAGTGAATCGTTACACCCCTACTGTATGTGCATCCAAATGAGGTTTTGTGAGATACCATTCATATCAGGCGCTGTTTGTTAATTACATCTTTACAGTGTGCGCCAGTTTTCAGCAAGCAACAACGAACAAAATACAAGGTGTGATTTGTCTGATTTGCAAACAAATTACTGTTCTTTTTTTTAATTTATGAAAAAGATTTTCCGGAAGCATTACATTAAATAATTTATCATTTCCTCATTTCGCTTTGGATAAAGGTGTCTGCTAAATGTCCAAATGTAAATGTAAATAACTTATGAGTTAGTGGCTCAGACTCAGTTAATAAATTGTTTAGAGCTATTACTAAGTTTGTGACTGACTCCCTCGTAGATTTTTCGCTCTTCTGATTCTAAACAAATTGTAAATTGTTTCTGTGGTGTATATTTTAATTCATGTGGGACTTTAAACAATCTTTTTACCAGTTGGTCAGATAGTATGACAATGTGTAAGTAAATATATTCATTCATAGCAGAGTTTTGTACTTTAATTGTATTTTGTATTTTAATCTACCATCTAAACATTTTACAAAAATATTATTTGTCATTGGTAAACATAGTAAGATCCACCTGTAAGGTAGAATTGAATATATGGGATATTCAAAGCACTGTTGAGTGCTTTAAAAAAAGAAAATAGGAAAAAATCAAACAAGTTGTCGATCACACTAATAAATCATCTTGACTCATCCCTATCCCTAATGTTCTTTCAGACGACAGATTTCCCTGCTCTCTCCTTGATATGTCTGCATATTTCCTGTCTCTTTCAGCCCCGTGAGCCAGCGGATGATTGGTCGGAGCATATCAGTTCATCTGGCAAGAAGTACTACTATAACTGTAGGACAGAGGTCTCTCAGTGGGAGAAACCTAAAGAATGGCTGGAGAGGTGAGTTGCTCTAGATCCCCTGTGACTGTCTTTCTTACTCCTCAACCATAAACTGACACCAGACTTCCTGTCTGAACAGAGAACAAAGGCAGAGAGAAGGTGCCAAGACTGTGGTTAACAGCTTTCCCAAAGACAGAGACTACAGACAAGAGGCGATGCAGGCCAGTGCCACAAGTGCCCTCAGTAGTACAAGTAAGTAGCAGAAATACAATTCTTTCCTTCCTGCCAGTGGTACAGGGATGCAGACTTGTCACCTTTCGGTGAAATTCACCGTTTTGAATTCAAAATAGTCATTTATGTGATTCGTGTAGATCCGGTGAGTTTTTTTTTAATTGTTTGGGGGGTCTTTTTACAGTACCTGTAGTACCAACTCAATTCTGTACCCGCTCGAAGTCACCCGCTTTCAAACGCTCCAGTGTGTTTTTGTGTGCGCGCTCTGGTTTTGAAAAGTTTCTATTTACAATGTGTTTTGCAGCATTGAGTATTGTATCCAATCACAGGCCAGGGCTCGCAAAATTTCTAAATCCCTGGTAGCTCTTCGGACAGGTACTCTTCAGATTTTGGTAGCCCGAAAATTAATTTAACTCACCCAAATAAAAAAAATACCTTTTTTTAAATATAGAAAATCAGATAGGAGTTTAAATGTCAATCAAAAATATTTTCAATACACAAATATCAACAAATATGAAGGAAGGAATTTTATTTCACTATTTACAGGGTATCTGCAGAATTTTTACAAAATAAATTTAAGGCAATGTATGACCCATTTTAAAGAGCAGGTCATATGGGTTTTTGAAAAATATCTCTTTTGCAGTATATAACGTAGCTATCCTTAAATGAAAACATTCTGCAAAGTTGTTAATCAAAAAAGTGCATGATAAATAAAGATATTGTCTCTCAAAAGGGAGAGTCGATTCTGAATCATCTTAACGAGTCGTCATATTTTCGAATCTTTTGCCTGTTACCGGTATACATCACTGGGTAACACATTTGCATAATCCCCGCCTGCTCGCGAGTCTGACCTGCCCACAAACACTTCCGCTAGTTAGTGTGTTTGCATCATGTCGAGAAGAGCTTTGTGTTCAGGGATACCACAGTAATACAATTTGAACATTTTGTTGTGTGCTCATCATTTTACGGAGGACTTCTCTAATCTTG